ATTGGTACAACTAATTGTAAACATATAAAACATAACTCTTGCTGTAAGAGGTATTATAATGAAACTATAATGAAAGCAAATACATACGCGAAATTTTGATAATATACTGGGTGTCCACAAAGTCTTGGCCTCTTATAATAACTTTGCTGTACGAAAACCATTAGAGCCACACTAACTTGCATGCCTTGTTTTGTAGGGAATTTCCTAAAATTTGATTAAATGAAGTTGGTAACTCATAAAAACAGCTGATTGCCAACAATAAGGTTATGATTCAATACGATAAAAAATCACATAGGCCTATTGCGAGTTTACTAGAGAAACACTGTGTGTTTTATTGTTTCACGAAACACAATCCCCTATAGCAGTTCAACGTCCTTCTAAGCAGGAAGGTTAACAGATAGGCTACATTTAATTGTAGAGTTAGAGGGAGTATAAATCTCTGGATCGTGATTGGAAATGAAAGTGACTGTAAATACATCTTTATCACTTGTTCTCATACTATGCGGTTTTCTTATCAGGCTAAGACATTGTGGGCATCCTGTATATCATGGTCTGTGACTTATTATTTAATTGGTTTGGTTTCAATGCCATCAGCAGTTATTGGTCACAAAGAACATTTGCTCAGGTATGGTAACTAACCATTATGTGCAATTACCTCCGATGTGCAGTTTATTTGTTCCGTCAGAAAATGGTGGCCATCATCGAGAAATTCCTCAAAGAGGGAGAGGCCGGAGAGGAAGAGGGCGAGGACGAGGTTGGGGCCATGCTCCGGCACCCGTACAGGCACCGGCATCTGCACAGGCACCGGTACCCGCACAGGCACCAGTACCCGCACCCGCACAGGCACCAGCACAAGATATCGAAGACCTAGAATTGGAACTTGATATCGTAAGTCAAAGTATTTAATTTGATGGAATAACTTAAAATAGATTACTACTGAAATAGCAGTAACTTTTAAAATTTATCTTCACCATGTGCTATGTTTTTCCTTTGAAATCCAAAATAACAATATCAAATCAACTATATTGTTTTATAATTTTTACTAGGCCCCCGTACAGTCACCGGCTTCTGCACAGGCACCGGTACCCGCACAGGCACCGGTACCCGCACAGGCACCAGTACCCGCACCCGCACAGGCACCAGCACAAGATATCGAAGACCTAGAATTGGAACTTGATATTGTAAGTCAAAGTATTTAATTTGATGGAATAACTTAAAATAGATTACTACTGAAATAGCAGTAACTTTTAATATTTATCTTCACCATGTGCTATGTTTTTCCTTTGAAATCCAAAATAACAATATCAAATCAACTATATTGTTTTATAATTTTTACTAGGCCTATATATAATGCATATGCATTGCTTATTCTGTAATACAGCAACTAATCTACTATTTCATATCAAGAAAGCCCTAATAATCACAATAATCAAGGGTTTTTGTTTTTACAACAAGTTATGCTTTTAAAAAACATTATCACATAAAGTATTTCAAAATATAATATATATCGGTAGGTGGTAAAAAAACGGTTACTATTGAAAATTATTGTTTTTTATTGTACCTGACTCGAGTTACATTTAGCTGTTCTACGCCATTTTGCTTGGCTGAGGGAGAGTGGAACAGGAATTAAGGTGGATAGTCACCACCTAACCCTTGCAGTTACCACATCACCTCTCACAACCGATTATTCTGTACACGGTAAATAAGGAGGATGCGTTACAAGTTTGCTTTGTTGCAGGGTGGAGCTATCGATAGACAGCTTGCAATGTTGGGTGCCATAAACGTTGATGTTGGGGACGTATAGGCCACCAAAAATATCCACCATAAGAAAATCATGGGGATTGGAAAATGTCTGCATTATTATCAGCTGTTACTTATTTATTGCAACGTTTATACTTATTCTGAATGTCAAAGTTGTTAAATGATGTTTCAAAATGTATTTGTTTATTTTTTTCCGTTTTTATAATGAATGAAGTAACTAGACAGTGTAGGGAAGACCTGCATGGTGTGGAAGAGTATCCAGGAATTCAACTGACACCTCTAGGAGGAATACCACCACATAAATCTACACAAATTATAGTTTTTTAATGTTGATCAGAAACAAAATGGGATGCCTTTACTTTACACTAAATTTGTCAATTATCTACAAAAGGAGTTTAAACATAGAAATAATAACTGGTTCCGTATGCTTTAGCGGTTTTGACCAAGAACTAAGCTTATCTCAACACACCTTTTTTGCCTTTTCATATTTGACGAAAACAATTTCCAAAATGTCAATCAGAGAAGCAAATTTTTATCACCATTAACCACAAGACCAAACACCAAAGCTACCTTAGTAAACCAGTATTTATTCACAAACAATTATATGTTTGCTGCCTTTAGCAGAGTTAAACCAAACCTCTGGAGTGATTTAAATTATTTATCGAAAATAACGTCAACAAAAGCAAACAAAGACAAACAAAAATCATTTTCACACAAAAGATAAATGTTGTACAGGGATATTTAGCTGTACCTATTCTGACACGGAAAGATAGTATAATTCTTACAATAATTTGTTTTACATTTGAGCACTTTATGTTATGGACTAATTGGACTTATGTCCCTACAAGCCACTAGTCTGTTAAGTAAGCCGATTCTTTGGTCAAAATTGTGGACAACTGGTAAGTCGTTGAATGACGGTAAGGTCTCTATCCCGTGATGGCGGGGAAAATAGTGAAATTTCCAAAATTTTAACACAAAATAAGATAAAACATAAAATGTTCTCCATAAGAATAGCATTAGTAGCCATTTACTGCTGACTTTTATTTACTTCAATACAGCTGATCGTGATTTATCATTAAGCCAGTAAGCAATATTACACTTGGGTTACTCATATGCCAGTCAATACTGCAATGTACTGTATACTATATAAAACCAGAGATAACGTTACCTAAAATTGAGACTTTTTCGTTATGTCTTAAAATGTTGAAATCAATTTTACCGTGCAATTTGCGAATTTGTGTATTTTTATATAAATAAGCCAAGCGCATGATTAGTAGTATAATAATGGGAGATGGCTAAAATCAAAGGAAATGGATTCAGAATGGCTGAAACACTTCAGCTTTGGTTTTATTTTAAAACAAATGTTCACGAAGTTTACTTTCATTACATTTCTTCACATTTGAAGGTTATTGATGTGTTGAAGGAATGTTTAACATGAAATGTAGCCCCATTGACTAAATAATCAACGATGATGCAAGATTAGTTAGAAAACTTCTGTTTGGTTTTTATTTCAAAACATAAGTTGAATATTTATTCAAAAATTTTGTTGTAAATTTCATAACATTTAATTTGACAAGTAATTGTAGTGTTAATCAATATTTTGTATCAAGTCGAATAACCTCAAAAGCTATGCTAGAGAATAGAAACCTGGGAATAAAATATGAAATACAGTAGGTTCGTACAGGCAATACATATTTGGAGATTTTAACCAGGTAGGCGTACCGTACCTACTGCCTGTTGCTCCAAGGAAAAAAGGTTAAAATAATATAGCCTAATATGCATAGTAAAGGGAGAATCCATAACAGTAAACCCTAGAGGTAGTTTCCGTTTCTTTACACTTCACTTACCAAAAATATGTACCTATATCAATGCTGATGAAAAGTTTTTTTCGTGATTGGTTTCGTTAACATGACAATGGTACCCTAACCAGCAATCAGTCGATGATTAGCTTTTTGAATTGTAGGCCTGGAGGCTAAATAAATATAAAAACTTTTAAAAGTAAAAAAATAGGTACATCCACTGAATGAAAAATGTTATACTATTAAGTACTTAAAATGAGGACGGATTAACAAATAAATACTTTAATACGGTCTAATCTATGAACCCACTGAACGTTTAAATATGCCTATTTTGATAGAGTGTGTAAAGTCAATCACAGCTTTAGGAGGAATACCACCACATAAGTCTACACAAAGAGTAGTTTCTATTTTATGTTGATCAGAAACGAAACTAGGGTTTAGTTTGGTCAGCCTTTACAATAATTTAGTTGCGCCTTTACAAAAGGAGTAGAGCTAACTTATAAGATTATGGATAATAACTGGGCCAGGGTACTAATATGAGTACATGTATTATTGTAGCACTGTATCAACTCTGACACACAGATAATTTTATTCTGAGTTTGTTAAAATATTACAATAATTTGTTTTACATTTGAGTTTTTAGGGACTTCCCTACAAGCCACTAGTTCTTTTTAAATATGATTTAATATAAATACGAGCTGTCGGCCCATCCTATGTACGGGAATCGAGTAGTCCAAAACTGTATATAGTTATATCAATATTTCCATTCCTAATTCAAGCATAGTTTAAGCAGCTCAAAATTTATTGTAAAGAAAAAGCTGATAAGATAAATTAAAACATCTGATCATTGTATTTTCGCAACCTTTCCTCAAAAATTTGAGTAGCAAAAGAAATTTTCATAAGCTTTTTTTTTAAAGCTCGTGAGCTTCGATTCTGAAATAGTTTAGTATTCTGTAATAATTGCCTGATCATAATCTATACGATTTAGACAAACTAGCCGGTCTGATACTATAAAGTTAACCTGACTATCAACGCACTACTATCACTATGATGTTCAACGTACCTTGGCATAACCATAGATGAAGTAATATAATTATATTACTTCATCGATCTATTGCATAACGTAGACTGAGACTCCCTCCTCGTTCGTCTCCTCTGTAGGGTTGTACTTTGTACTATTTGTACTTTGACCTTAGGCCCTATTGTATTTAACTAAAACTGGCTTCTTGATGATTGTAATAATGAAACTAAAACATTCTTTACTTTATAACAATTCCCTCCCTACTTATAAAAATAAAACATTCACTCTAAATAAAAACTCTTCTTAGGGAGGGAGACTCTCTTCTTAAGCTCTACAGGTTCAGTTTATCAGGCGGTTTTGTTGTTCGTTTTGAACGCCTGATACATGAGTCTGGACTCTTACTCTTTCTGGAGACTTGATTATTCCTGGTGATTCTTGTGGGTCTTGATTTTGTGGTAATGACATTCTTGTCTGGGCTTTACTAGGGCTTTTTGTTGGGGTTTGTCTAGGAGAATATTCATTTGCCGGGGCTGCAATTTCTTCTGCCCTTGTGTTTTCATCTGGTCTAGGTAACATTTGTTCTTCTTCATCTTCATACGTGATGGATTCAACTTAAGGTGGTCTGCATGTACGAATCTTGTTTTACCTTCCACATTAACTAGATAGGTTACTGGACTGACAACCTTGAAAATGACACCAGACTGCCAGTTTATCTTCTCTTGTCTCACAGTACGGACTAGTAACATATCTCCTTTATTAAAGGATCTCTGTTTACCTCTTCGGGTATCACCTCTCGTTTTCGTCTCTTCTTGCTTTCTCTTCATATCGTCAGAGAAATGAGGCTTAAGTAAACTCAATGGTGTACGTGGGATGGTCTTGAGAAACATTTCGGCAGGTATGTCATGCCTGTGGTCGAGTGTGGCGTGTTCCTGTGGTTCCTCCAAAAGTTGTTTCAGAAAGACAGATTTGGTTGTCTGGACCATCCTTTCTGCGAGGCCATTCGAAGCCGGATGATATGGTGGTGAAACCAGATGCCGAATGCCATTGAACTTAAAAAAGTCATTAAACTCTTGAGGCGTGAACTGGGTACCTCCATCTGTTACCACAGTATTTGGTAAGCCGTAAGCTGCGAAACAGGTACTAAGCTTGACTATTACTTTAGCAGAAGTTGTAGATTTCATGTGGAGTATTTCGGGCCATTTGGATCTGCTATCAACAAGAATGGCCATGACCATGGTTGTAACGGGACAAGGATGTGAGCCGAAGTGCGACTATTTTTGTAGGAAATATGGACTTAACTTTTGGAAAGAATGCTATTGCATGTTATAAAATGTTATTGCATATTATAGAAGCTGTACTCGCCTATTGGGTCTGATGATGATTAGAGTGTCCAATCGAAATTTATCACCGCTTACCATCCTTTTAGCGAATTTCCCTATAGGGAAGTAGCTATTACCGTAGGTGGCACGGTAAGACCTAGACCCGGGACCGATTCACTTTTTCATTTTGATGTCCCCAGAGGCCAAAAACACCATTCGTTCAAATTTTTATATATGTATATATATATAGACTTATATATATATATACGTCCGTGAACGCGATAACTTGAGTAATTTTTGTCCGATTTTGATGAAATTTGGTTTAAAGGTGTAAAGGGGGATAAACTTGAATGAGTTCGCGAACCAGCACGATCGGACCATGGGAACGGGGCTTTACGGGGGGTTTTATGGGGTAAAAATTGGTTTTTCTCATTTTTGACCCTCAAAACACAAAATATCCCGATTTCTCTTTAGACCTTTTTAAAGAGCTTAAAAAAACAAATAATTTAGTATATAAAAGTATTTTTGTTCGATTATTAGTAACGGATAAAATTAAAAAAATTGTAAATTTAAAATTCCCATGTTATTCTTATGGAGAATATTGTCAAATGTTGTAGTTCGCTTGTTTATGGATATATTTTGATCAAACTTGGCAAATTTATTTATTTTGTACTAAGCTATCAATATTTTACTCAAAAACACTCTTTATTAGTTTCCTTGTAACAGCAAACCTAGGTACTCGTTAAACCTAATGTTATTAAAATATATTTAACTGAAAATCAATTCAGACAAATGGAAATTCGCTTAGTCGGCAGGTTTGCTGCGGCGGGGGTATTTGTATATTTACCTTCTTGTGAGTAACAGTATTTAAGCGTAAATATATGTTTTAAGTGTTATAAGACGTTTCTTTTATTTACTTTCCGTAAATTTAATAACACGAACAATGCTGATCAAGAAGTTATTTCTATGATATTCAATGACATTAACAAGTTATAAGGTTTTCCAACAGGTTACTTCACTAGTAATTCTTTTTGCACTTATAACAACAGCTTATTTGAACCAAGCACCAAAACAAAGCTGTGTTAACTTTACTTTTTTCTATGTTTAGGTGCAGTGGTATAATATTATGGCTATGCTAGATGTGCTATACTATATTAAAAGAACCAAATTTACTTAAACCGTGTCCTCTCCCATTGCTAACGCAAAGTCTGAGTATAACTGCAATTACCATTTTATAATTATAAGCCAACTCCGTACGAAGACGGGTAGGCCTACTCGGGTGGTACAAAATATTTTTTTTTACGTTAACGAATATTTCCGTCATATCGTAGTTGGAAAACGGCAATTGCTGGAAAACTTCGCACGTAAACTAGCCAGTCCTAGTAGTGGTCATGAAGACGATTATTGGACAAACTAAAAAAAAAAGAATCTAAAAACGTCTTGAATTATTAACATCAAACATTATTTCCTATTAGCATATGAAATAATGGTTACAAACACAACACCTCCATACCTTAATATTTTATACGAAAGTCAAAATCTCCACTGTTTGTGATTACAAATTTTTGTTGTAAATAAATGGTATACAATGCTAAGCTCTCCATTGAAAAGGTAAATCCCAATATAAATTATCGCGTTGTCAAAACTTTAACTTTATTGAACTAGTTATTATTATTCTGTGTATAGTCAATGCTATTAATAATATATATATATATATATGTGTGTGTATGTAAATTGTATTGCAGACGTTTTCCAATATGCCCGTAGAGTACGTCTTAAGTTATTGCCAATTAATGTTAATTATGCATAAAATATAGTAGGCCTACGGTATGTCTGATTAGGTTTTATACCAGTAGGGACTTTAATGACTATATCAAAGTATTATTTTTGTAAAGACATAAAAATTAAGGTCAACAAGTGGTCAAAAAGATTCATACTAAACTTTCACGGCAATATACAAGCGCCACGAGCCTGCAGATTGGGGAACGCAACACCCACCACTGTTGGAGCGAACGATCTTGGAGGGAATGCAACAGTTCAAGATTATTACTGTACATATTTAAATTATTCTGATCGTTCACTCCAATGTGCATTCGATCCAATGTACAGTAAAATTCTAAATTAATATTTTCTACTGGTTAGTCTACTTCTAGAGTTGACTGTACCCGTTGGATTGAATAAACATTGGAGCGAACGAACAGGCAAATAATTTGTAAAATTAATTTTTGGAATGAATGAAACAATCTCGTTTTTTAGTGAACTGTATTTATTTCAAGGAATAGGAATAGCGAGCTGTTTACTTCTTATTCGTGTTCGAATAAATTTTTCGGTTAATTATTCGAAAAACTGTTCTATACCTAATAATCGATACATTAGTTTGAATTATTATTATTATCACTAAATTGAACCGTGACCCTCTGCTTGTAGGCAAGCACGCGGGAATTCTGTGTCGGTGTCGGTTTCGGTTGTGTGTAGATTACTTACTTTCATTTATAAGCCAATCATCGATCTCAGGTTAGAGATACGACTCTCGGCTTTTCAAACAATGTTTTTTTCAAACAAGATGAAACCTATTACACTGGCATTAAACTGCCACAAACTACAGACTAACCCAGAAAGGTAACGAAAATCACCGCGAGAACCATCTGATGTGCAGTTGGAATTTGTCTTACCAAGATGTAGTTAAGTAAAGCATTTATCAAATAAAAATTCGTCTATATCTTAGTTATAATTATGAAGCGATTCAGGATCATTAGAAATAATAATATAGTAATATCTTTAATAAATAAATAAACTACAGATGAAAACTAGGAGTAAAAAAGCAAACTGCTAGCGCTACAAATGTCAGCGGCGAATACACAAACTACTAGGGCAGTTGCCTCTAATCGCCGCAAAAGCGTTAGCTGTTTCGTTCTTCTCCTGAGTTGAGATAAAGATACTGTACTACGGTACGATTTAAAAACATGTAAAATTAACCTGATGAAATGAATTAATAAACTAGCAGACAGTGTCACCACAGACAATATAATACTCTAATGGTTTACTCCATTGTCTGTGGTGTCACTTCGTGACTTCAAAATCCGTAACATATTTGAATTAATTTACAATTTTAATATTGCAAATCCTATCAACACAAAATCTAACGAAAGTAATTTTCTTCTTTATTAATACAAATAACATTCCATCATTTTACTTGAATTCACTAAAACATCACCAACTGTAACAATAACCCCATTATTGTACGGATGTAAACCAAAATTGTATCATGGCCATATGTTATAATGTAAACAAATATAAACTTGAAAAAGTTCACACAACTGAAAACAGTATTCAGCACAAACTGAAATGTTTAAAACGTAGGCCTATAGGACGAAGGGCTTTCGTGTGATATCATTCAAACCTTCAAAAGGCACATTTTGAGGATGAGAGATTGAAATTGATATCCAATATGAGTATGAAAATAAATATTTAGAGGTCAATTGGCTGATACAAAAATCCGACAAATTTAGATAATTTTCATGAAGTTGACTTCATAAAAAGAAAGTTTCTCAGCAACACTATTCCTTGAGTAAACTCTGGAAATAATTCAATCACAGGGGGGTAAAGCCCTTAATGAAATCGCTGTTTTCGTTATCATTCGGAGGAACGATGGATCTAAGCTTTATATCGTACTCATTTGGGTAACAACATAGACTAAGAAGAATTCTTTTTGTCCATGATAACTAACAATAAGAGCGACGTCAGCAACGTTCCGAAGACGTAATAAGACTAAAGTCTTTATTTGTATGACAACTCATAAATTATTTTCTTTAATAGGGAATATAAATGACATTTTAAAGACGATATATTAGTTAAGTTATAATCGAGTAATTGGTACTTACTTAATCTGCAAGTTCGCTTTGGCGGGGCATTTTTTAATCTTAGTATTTATCTTGGATTTAATCTTAGTATTTTTATCTTAGCTAAGCTAAAGTAGTGTCTCTAACCTGAGACTAGTGATTGGCTTATAATTTACTGAACATAAAATATAGTTACATGACTGACTAGGTTTTAGGATAGTAGATGTCACAACACAACACAATAACTTAATATTAGTTTATAGGGCTGCTATAATTAATTCGAAATTTTAAATTATTTAAGTCTATAAAGGCAACAATTTAAAGTCAGTACAACACTTTAAACAACAGCTGAAAAAATAATGAAATTATATTTTTTTCAAAATTTAGAAGGTTATGTCATTATGTGTTTAAAATACCCCCGCTGCATTAAACCTGCCGACTAAGCGAATTTCCATTTACCTGGATTGATTTTCGATTAATCTATTAAATTAACATTAATGTTTAACGAGTACCTAGGTTAGCTGCTGCGGGGAAACTAAAAACGCGCGTGTTTTATTAAAATATTAATAGCTTAGTATGAAATAAATAAATCCGCCAAGTTTGATCAAAATATATCCATAAACAAGCCAACTACAACATTTTACAATTTTCTCCATAAGAATAACATGGGAATTTTAAATTAATATTTTTTTGAATTTTCTCCGTAACCAATCACCGTACAAAAACACTTTGATATACTAAATTATGTTTTTTTTACTCTTTAAAAGGTCTGTAGAAAAATATATTTTTTTTTGTTTTAAGGGTAAAATACCCCCGCCGCAGCAAACCTGCAGTCTAAGCGAATTTCCATTTCCCTGAATGAATTTACACTAAAATGTCTCCTTAAAAAAATCACATTTATTCCCTATTTAAATAGAATCAGTTTAAAACATACTTAGGTTTGCTGCAACAGGGAGGGTAAAAGTGTTTTTTATGTAAAATGTTAATAGATGGTAAGAAATAAAAACATTTTCCAAATTTGGGCAAAATATGTTAATAAACAAGCAAACTACAACAGTTTACTTATTCTCCATAAGA